TGTTTCTCCAGATTCGCACATCCTTCCAAGGTTAATCTTACACCTCGTCCTTCTCCTTAACCTTCCTCTTCCTCCTCGTCCATCCTTTCGTAGCTTATCTAATTCATCCTCCCCGCCCTTAGGTCTTTCCTTCCTACCTCTCCCTCTTCCTCCATTCCTTCTTTCACCCCTTCCTTCCTTCAGATCTTTATTTCTTCCCTCTCCTTATTTTCTTGCTCCTTCTATCTTTGTTTTCCTCTCTTCTTCGTTCTCTTCCTTCACGAATCCTCTTCTCCTTTAGTTATCCTTTCTTCCTTCCCTTTCCCCTCTTTCGTTACGCCTCCCCTTCATGCTAGCCTGTTCTTCTTTCTCCCTCTTCCTTTGCCGTTAACTCCTCCCCCCCTTCTAGTCTGTTCTCCTTCCTTCTCCCTCTTTCTTCAGCCCCCCCATAGATCTCTTCTTCCCCCCCCCTTTCTCTTCCTTCGCACCTACCTATATTTGACTTTCTCTTATCTCCTTTCTTCATCTTCCTTTACTGCCTTCCTCCGAGACTCTTAATTCTGTCATCCCTCCTCCTTCCTTCCTTCCTTCACGCTTCTTCTTCCTTCTTCCTTTCCCTCCTTCTTTCATTTCTCCCTCTTCGTTCCATGTTTCTCTGTCCTCTCCTTTCCTTTCCTTCTCCTCTTCCTTCACGCCTTACCCCTCTCCTTCCTCGCATTCCCCAGTCTTCCTCACTTCCCTTTTCGTAATGTATGCACGCCTCCTTAAGTCTTTCATTTATATCCCTCCTTCTCCTACTTCCTTCAAGTCACAATGTGTTTCCTTTCATCCCTCTCCCTTCCCCACCCCGGCCCCCATTTCCTCTACCCCACCCCCACCCCCACCCCACTTGCTCTACCACACCCCCCACCCCCTCCCCACTTCTTCTACCCTACCCCCACCCTCCCCACTTCTCTACCCAATCCCCCCCTACTTCTTCTACACCACCCTCTCCCCACTTCCTTCACCTCACCCCCACCCCCTCACCACTTCCTTCACACCTATCCCTCCCCCTCTCTCCTTCCCTCACGCTTACCCCCCTTCTCCTCACTTCCTCCACCCCACCCCCCTCACCACTTCCTTCACACCTATCCCTCATCCCTCTCTCCTTCCCTCACCCACACCCCCTCACCACTTCCTTCACACCTATCCCTCCCCCCTCTCCCCTTCACCTCACTCCCACCCCCTCACCACTTCCTCCACCCCATCCCCCTCACCACTTCCTTCACACCTTCCCCCCTCCCCCCTCCCTCGTTCTTTCACGCCCTCTAGCCGCATAACTACAGGACACTCAATGCATTATTCTCTCTGCTGTGGGCAAGGTCATGTTGAGGGTGCGCATATTTTGTGTTTGTTTGTGTACTTGTTTTCGTTTTTTGTCCTTTTTTTATGTCTTATTTTTTTTGTTTCGTTTTTTTTATCTTGTTTTATATTTCTGGTTCTCTTTCCTTCTCTGTAGATTCTTTTCTTTTCTTTTCTCTTATCTGCCTTCTCTTTCTCTCTATCTATCTCTTTACCTCTCTATCTATCTAGATAAGTCTATTCATTGCTTTGTTACCCTTCTTCCTATTCTTTGTTCAGTTCTCCTCTTTCTTCCTTTCGGTAATTCATGCGCAAGAGACAAGAGTGTAAATAGTGACAATTGCGTTATTAAAATCATGATATTGAATCTTTATGATAAGAATTATGTGTGGGAAGTTTTGGCAGGGAAAGACTTCACAAATCTTTGGCATTCTACAAAACCTGCAGTAATTTCATAACAGTTTTTCATGTTCATTACAGGTAAATATGCGGTTGTATATATTATGCTAATGAATACTTGGTAGAAATTGGTAGGTATGCAGAAACAGCTAGAGAAAATATTTCCTATTGTAAGATGATCCCTTCAGATCCACCCTCTCTCCTCACCGCTCGTCTCCTCTCCTCTTCATCTCCTTATTCTTCCTTCAGCTCTATCATCCCTCCACCCCCACCCCCCCATAATTCCTCCTCAACTTCCCCCCACCCAACTCCCCCCCTTTCGCTACCCCAAGAAGGCTACAATAATTCTATTCCATGCATCAACTTGCATGCACTCTGCCCGCGACGTCCTTGGCGGTACCGTCTCGTGGTATCTCGCGCTATCACGGAAGTCACGAGAACGGCTGTGTTGTTGTTCGTGCTTACATCGGTGCGTATGATTAGGTCTTCGTGCTTGTCGCTGGGTCGTTTTAACTTCCTTGTGTGGATTTATGGGAGTTTTATTTGTTTTGTGTGAAGGGTTTTGGTAGGAAGATAGACGGATGAAATGAATATGAAAAGAAAAAAAAGAAAAATAAGAGAGCGAAGAAACGAAAAAAAACAAAACGAAAAAAATTGTGCGCATCTCTTGACTCTACTGTTTAGCATGCAAAAGAGCAGCTTCTGAGCACCTTAATCTTCTCACTACTTGAGTCACCACTTTCAGGCCATTTTAAAAAGGGATAAGGACGGGTAGTCGACC